GGGCTGGGGGCGTGGTCAGGGTGGAGCCCCGCCCAGAATCCCCAGTGAGGGGCTGGGGCGTGGCTTTGCTGGTCCCTTCAGGCCTCACTGCTTCCGATCTGATCTGCTGTGATCCTGCCCTGCACTTGCTCCGCCTTCTCCTGGACACCCGAGTTCGAATCCAGGTAAGAACCGCTCTTGGCTGAGGACGCTCAGCGGCCGGGGCGCAGTTTGCCTCCTCTGAAAAGCTGATTCCCGTGGCTGCGCCTGGAGCCTGCAACAGACAGAGCTGCGGGTCTGGTGGATCAATGGAGCATTTATTGAGCACCCACTGTGTGCAGCGCACTGGGGCGGCTTGTGGACGTCGTGTTAAAGCAAGAAATAATCGTGTCCAAAGTTTTTAATGGGTTCCCTAAAATTTGCAAAATCAGCGCGGCCTCCCCACTTCTCCAACCCCTCTCCCCCTCCCACCCGCAGGGGCAGCTGGGTCCATGCGCCTGCGCAGGCGGCACTCAGCCTTCACCCGTGGGAATGGTGTCATCAGGCCAAAATAAACGTCACCTGGGGAGACTGAGGCAGGAGGATGGCGAGATCCATAGCAGCCTGGGCAGCACCGTGAGATTCGGTCTGAAAACAATAATAAAGTAGAGAAGACGAGACTGAGTGTACGAACACAAGTAAATGTTAAGATAAATTTCAAAGGGAAATTAAAATTTGAAACAAAACGAATTCACTTCAGGAGTTAATTAACTCATTTGTTAGGATGCAGGGCCCACGAAATGCAGGCCACCACCCGCGCACGGAGTGAGGTCGCCTGTGCGCCGTCCTCTGCTGGCCGGACTGTGACAGCGGCGTCATCAGGGTCGTGTGGGGGTCCCAGGCGCACGTCCAGCGTCTCCCCGGGGCCCCCTGAGCCTGCAGCTCACGAGTTAGCCTAGGCTGGCCCGCAAGCCCGAGTCCTCTCGCCTCCACTTCCCAGTGGACGCCGGGGACTCGAACTCTGGTCCTCGGGTTCCCCGGAGCCACCCTCGCAGGGCTCCTCCCGGGCTCTGCGGGGCTGCGCATCAGCCCCAGGGAGGGCTCGGGGGCTCCCTGACCTCACCCCCTCCTTCTGCAGCTGGGGAAACTGAGGCGCGGCGCGGGGTGTGGTGAAGGTTGGTAGGCCTGGGCCGTGACCTCCCTGTCTCCTCCCCAATCCCTGTCTCCTGCCCTCTTGGCTCCACGTCTGGGGTGACTGTAGGGGGAGGGGCCGACCACAAGATGCCAAGGCAAATTACAGCTGGAGGCGGGGTGGGGGGGCGGCTGCGGGGCTGGGTTACCATGTGGGGGTGCGAGGCTGTGGGGTGTGGCTGCAGGGGTGAGGCTGGGGGGTTGAGACTGGGAGGGGGTGCGGATTGGGGGGGTTGAGGCCGGAGAGGCGTGAGGCTGCGGGGGTGCGGCTGTGGGGGGAGGTGAGGTCAGGGGCGGCGACAAGGTTGCGGGGTTACGGCTGGGGTGTGGCTGCAGGGGTGAGTTTGGGGGGGCAGTGAGGCTGCAGGGGTGAGGCTGCAGGGCTGGGGTGAGGCTGCAGGGCTGGGGTGCGGCTGCAGGGCTGGGGTGCGGCTGCAGGGGTGAGGCTGGGGGCAGTGAGGCTGCAGGGCTGGGGTGCGGCTGCAGGGGTGAGGCTGGGGCGTGAGGCTTGTGAGGGGTGCAGCTGCGGGGTTGGGTCTGGACTGGGGGGTGAGGTCGGGGAGCCGTTGCTGGCAGGGGTCGGGGTGCTTCGCAGGGGTGAGGCGGGGGGGCGCCCGCTCCCTCCTTCGGGTTGCGGCCAGACCCACGTGACGGGGAAAGGCCTCCGCGGTGAGCGCGGGTCGGCCGCTGTGGGCGCAACCGTGACTCAGTCCGTCAGCAAACGGGGCGATGGCTCCTTCTGCGGCTGGTGCCACGCTGGGTGCCCACGCGGGCGGGCCGGGCGACACCTCCCACCCCGAGACTCAGTTTCCCTGTCTGTAAAAGGGGACAGGGAGGGGACACTGAAGGAAATAGCGGCTGTCACACTGCGGCTGCGCAGCGCTGGGCTCCTGACTGAACCTCTCTGGGCCGCCCCAGCTTGTTGGGACAAGAGACGCCTCGGGCACTGTTCTGTTTCTCTCTCGGGATCGGGGCACAGCAGGGCTGGGGTTTTGAAGGGTGCGTAGGAGCCCTCGGGCGGTGGACAGAAGAACGGAGAACCCAGAAGGACGAGCCCCGTTGCCCAACGTGTCCGGTCCCTTATCTCCCCCAGGGAGGAGCAGCTCCCCTGGGCCACTTCCCGGCCATCAGGCAGCTCGTGCCCTGGCGAGTTCTTCCTGCTGTCCACCCTTCGTCCTTCCCGCTGCTGGCGCAGGGCCAAGCCGTGCTTTAGCCCAGCAGAGCCCTTATCCTCTCCGCTGCACACAGTCGGTGCTGCATAAACGCACCGGAGCCGGCGTCCACCCCACCTCTGCAGTGGCCGGGGAGTTTATTCCCCACTTAAACACAGGAGCCCAGAGAGGCCAAGCCACTCACCTGACGTCACACAGCCTGGGGCAGGTCTCCCCTCACCCCGGGCCCCTAGACGTGAAGGAGTCCTCGGTGTCCCCGGTCCAAGTTCCCAGCGTGTCGGAGGCGGGAAGGCCCCGGGGCGCCCTGGCCCAGCTCGGCAGGGGCAGGCGGGGGCAGCGGCCGCGCTTCCGGGGGGCGGGCGGGGGGCGGGGGGCGCTCATTCACAAATCCGGGGCCGCAGCGATGGCAGCCGCCTCCCGGGCTGTGGGTGGCCTCTGTCCCCGCCCCCCAGCTCGCCCTTCCTGGCCGGGCCCCCTCCCCTGTCCGTCTCCGGCGCACTGGGCTCCGTGGGAGCCGCGCGTGGGGACCTCCGGGGGCGTCGCGGCCCAGCATGGAGGTGCCGGGGCCCCCCGTGTCCGGGAAGCCGGGGGAGACGTCGGTCAAATGGCAGCTCTGCTATGACATGGCTGCGAAGATGTGGTGGATG